TTGAAGTATTTCATCTCCCAAATAATATCTTGTATCTGGTCTCCTGCTCCCTACGCCTATCTTCATTACTTTACATTTGCTTGGGTTAAACTCTAACAACCATTTGTTCGACCATTCCTGCAGCTTGTTCAGGTCTTCTTAAAGCCTCAAGCTGTCCTCTGTTTTAATCCTTCTCATAACTTTGGCATCGTCAGCAAACATTGAGAGGAATGAGTCTATACCCTCTGGGAGATCATTTATGTATATCAGGAACAGGATAGGTCCGAGTACAGAGCCCTGTGGGACTCCACTGGTGACTTCACGCCAATCGGAGGTCTCACCCCTCACCGTAACTCTCTGCTTCATATTGCTTAGGTACTCCCTTATCCACTGGAGCGCACTTCCAGTTACTCCTGCCTGTTTCTCCAGCTTATGCATCAGCCTTTTATGGGGTACTGTGTCAAAGGCTTTCCGACAGTCAAAAAAATGCAGTCTGCCCGTCCTTCTCTTTCTTGCTTAATCTTTTTCACCTGATCGTAGAATTAAGCCTGTAAGGTAAGATTTACCCTCCCTGAACCCATGTTGATGGGTTGTCACGAAGTCCCTTCTCTCCAGATGTGTTACTAGGTTTTTTCTCACGATCTTCTCCATCACCTTGCATGGTATACAAGTTAGGGACACTGGCCTGTAGTTCAGTGCCTCTTGTCTGTCACCCTTTTTGTTTATTGGGACAACATTAACCGTCTTTCATATTTCTGGTAGGTCTCCCGTTTCCAGTGACCTACTATACACTATGGAGAGTGGCAAACAAAGTGCTCCTGCACACTCTTTCAATACCTATGGTGAGATTCAGTCCGCCCCAACAGCCTTTCTCACGTCCAGCTCCAATTGGTGCCTCTTGACCACTTCTCTTGTAATTTCGAACCCCTCCAAGGTCGCCTGGTTTGCTGCCACCTCTCCTTGCGCCGTGACCTCTCCTTGTTCTATTGTAAAGACCTTCTGGAACCTCTTGTGGAGTTCCTCACACTCTTTGTCATGCTCTGTGTACCTGTCCTCACCCGTTCTAAGTTTCATCACCTGTTCCTTCACTGCCGTTTTCCTCCTGATGTGGCTGTGCAGTAGCTTTGGTTCGGTCTTGGTTTTCTTAGCTATATCATTTTCATACCTTTTCTTAGCTGCTCTTCTCACACTAACATACTCGTTCCAGGTTCTCTGGTATCTCTCTCTACTTCTGGTGTTCTGTTATTTCGGAAGTTCCTCCACGCCCTTTTGTTCAGCCGATTAAACCACAGATTCTTTTTTTGCTTCTCGGTTTTTTTCCCGTCGGGCCGGGATAAACCTGTTTACTGCCTCCTGACACTTTTGGGTGACATAGTCCATCATGTCTTGTACGGACTTATTTCTGAGTTCTGTGTCCCATGGTATATCCCTTAGGAATTTATTCATCTCCTCATAGTTTCCCTTTCGGTACGCCAGCCCTTTGGTTCCCAGTTCTTTTTTTTGAGGAGATAATTCCTAGCTCAACCAGGTACTCAACGATCACTCATACACTATGATCACTCATTCCCAAGGGGGCTTCCAACTTAACTTCCCTTATATCCGACTCATTTAGAGAAAATATTAGATCAAGCAATGCTGGTTCATCCTCTCCTCTCATTCTTGTCGGTCCCTTGATGTGTTGACTTAAAAAGTTTCTTGTTGCCACATAGCAGCTTAGCTCTCCATGTGTCTGGGCCTCCATGTGGGTCTCTGTTCCCCAATCTATCTTCCCGTGGTTGAAGTCTCCCATGATTAGTAGTCTGGATCCGTTCCTGCTAGCCACAGAAGCTGCTCTCTCTATTATATGTATTATATATATATGTGTGTGTGTGTGTGTGTGTGTGTGTGTGTGTGTGTGTGTGTGTGTGTGTGTGTGTGTGTGTGTGTGTATGTGTGAGGACTCGCCTATTTGTGACTGCAGGATCGAGCTCTAGCTCTTGGAGCCCGCTTTTCTAGTCGCTGGTTGTCTAATGCAATGACTCCTGACCTATTTCCATATCCAGTTGCTTTTAAAGTTATGAATGCAGTTAGCCTCTTCAACCTGCTCCTTTAGACTATTTCATTTCTTCACTACCCTTATGCTAAAAGAAAACTTTCAATCATCTCTGACATAAGCTCATGAGTCTCAAGCTTCCGTCCGTGCCCCCTTTGTTCTATTGGTATTCATTTAAAAAAATAAATTCTTTTTCCACCCTGTCAATCCCTCAAAGTATTTTATACGTATGAATCATGTCCCCTCTCCTTTCCCCTTTCTAACGTCGTCAAATTTATTTCCTTCAGTCTCTCTCTTCACACCTTATTCCTCGCAACTCTGGGACGAGTCTTGTTGCAAACTTCTGCATCCTTTCAAGCTTCCTTATGTGTTTTGTTAGACGGGGCTCCACGATGGGGCGGCGGCATACTCTAAGCCTGGCCTCACATAGGCGGTGTATAGTGATCTAAAAGCTTCCCTATTCAAGTTCCTGAAGGATGTTCTGACTTTTGCCAGCGGCGTGTGTGCGGCTGACGTTATTCTGTTTACATGAGCTTCTGGAGTTATGTCCACTCCCAGGTCTTTTTCTCTACTTGTTATAAGGAGATTCCCTTCATTGTGTATTGGTCTTTCGGTCTCCTGATCCAATTTCCATCGCCTTACATTTGCTGGTGCTGAACTCAAGGAGCCATTCCTCGAACCAGCTCTGCTACCTGTTCTAGTCATCTTGGAGAATCTTACAACACTCATCTGTCTCAACCCTCATAAGTTTCGCATCGTCTGGAAACATGACATATAAGACTCAACTGCAATGAATTCGTTTACATACATAAGGATCGGTATAGGTCCCAACACCGATCCTTGAGGCACCCCGCTTGTTCCTTTACGCCAGTCCGACTCCTCGCCCCCTCACTGTCACTCTCTGACCTCTATCTGTCAGGTAATTCCTTACACATGTTAGTGCGTTTCCGCTCACTCTCGCCTGCCTCTAAAGTAGGTATAGTAACCTCCTGTGAAGTACTGTATCAAAGGCCTTCTGGTAGTCCAGAAATACGCAATCTGCCCATCCTTCTCTGTCTTGCCTTATCATAAGACTCCGAGGTTCAAGAGGCATGATTTCTCTTTCCTAACACAGTGTACTCACCTAGTTGTACTCACCTAGTTGTGCTTGCGGGGGTTGAGCTCTGGCTCTTTGGTCCCGCCTCTCAACTGTCAATCAACAGGTGTGCAGGTTCCTGAGCCTACTGGGCTCTATAATATCTACACTTGAAACTGTGTATGGAGTCAGCCTCCACCACATCACTTCCTAATGCATTCCATTTGTCAACCACTCTGACACTAAAAAAGTTCTTTCTAATATCTCTGTGGCTCATTTGGGCACTCAGTTTCCACCTGTGTCCCCTTGTGCGTGTGCCCCTTGTGTTAAACAGCCTGTCTTTATCAACCCTGTCAGTTCCCTTGAGGATCTTGAATGTAGTGATCATGTCCCCCCTAACTCTTCTGTCTTCCAACGCATGTGCATGTGTGTGTGATTTCCCATTTGCAGTTTCAGGTAGAGTGGTGTGTTCGTATTGTCCCATCTTCCATGTGTGTTTTGTGAAATATATGGGTTGAAACTTCAGGTTTCAGGCACACACGACCTTCAGGGCTGCGTTCCATCCTACCACAACCCTGCAGGTAAAGAGTGCTCTCTTATACATTTTCTTCTGGATTTCAAAACAAATACTTTAAAATTTTAATATTTATGGTATCAGAGAATTCTTAGCTTTCTTTTTTTTTGCATTTTTATTGAGAAAACATATCTCCTCTTTGCTGGGGTTAACATATCCTTATTTGTGTCCCCCCCATGGTGAGACCTTCCCCCCCCATGGTGAGACCTTCCTCCCCCATGGTGAGACCTTCCCCCCCATGGTGAGACCTTCCCCCCCATGGTGAGACCTTCCCCCCCATGGTGAGACCTTCCCCCCCATGGTGAGACCTTCCCCCCCATGGTGAGACCTTCCCCCCCCATTGTGAGACCTTCCCCCCCATGGTGAGTCCTTCCCCCCCTTGGTGAGACCTTCCCCCCCATGGTGAGACCTTCCCCCCATGGTGAGTCCTTCCCCCCATGGTGAGACCTTCCCCCCCCCCATGGTGAGTCCTTCCCCCCATGGTGAGACCTTCCCCCCCCTTGGTGAGACCTTCCCCCCCTTGGTGAGACCTTCCCCCCCCTTGGTGAGACCTTCCCCCCCCTTGGTGAGACCTTCCCCCCATGGTGAGACCTTCCCCCATGGTGAGACCTTCCTCCCCCCCATGGTGAGACCTTTCCCCCCATGGTGAGACCTTCCCCCCCCTTGGTGAGACCTTCCCCCCCCTTGGTGAGACCTTCCCCCCCCTTGGTGAGACCTTCCCCCCCATGGTGAGACCTTCCCCCATGGTGAGACCTTCCCCCCCCTTGGTGAGACCTTCCCCCCCCTTGGTGAGACCTTCCCCCCCATGGTGAGACCTTCCCCCATGGTGAGACCTTCCCCCCCATGGTGAGACCTTCCTCCCCATGGTGAGACCTTCCCCCCCCCATGGTGAGACCTTCCCCCCCCCTTGGTGAGACCTTCCCCCCCATGGTGAGACCTTCCCCCCCCCCCTTGGTGAGACCTTCCCCCCCATGGTGAGACCTTCCCCCCATGGAGAGACCTTCCCCCCATTATGAGACCTTCCCCCATGGTGAGACCTTCCCCCCATTATGAGACCTTCCCCCATGGTGAGACCTTCCCCCATGGTGAGACCTTCCCCCCCCCATGGTGAGACCTTCCCCCATGGTGAGACCTTCCTCTCCCATGGTGAGACCTTCCCCCCATGGTGAGACCTTCCCCCCATGGTGAGACCTTCCCCCCATGGTGAGACCTTCCTCTCCCATGGTGAGACCTTCCCCCCATGGTGAGACCTTCCCCCCATGGTGAGACCTTCCCCCCCCCATGGTGAGACCTTCCCCCCCATGGTGAGACCTTCCCCCCCATGGTGAGACCTTCCCCCCCATGGTGAGACCTTCCCCTCATGGTGAGACCTTCCCCACCATGGTCAGACCTTCCCCCTATGGTGAGACCTTCCCCCCCCCATGGTGAGACCTTACCCCCCATGGTGAGACCTTCCCCCCATGGTGAAACCTTCCCCCCCCCATGGTGAGACCTTCCCCCCCATGGTGAGACCTTCCCCCCATGGTGAGACCTTCCCCCCATGGTGAGACCTTCCCCCCCCCCATGGTGAGACCTTCCCCCCATGGTGAGACCTTCCCCCCCATGGTGAGACCTTCCCCCCATGGTGAGACCTTCCCTCCATGGTGAGACCTTCCCCCCATGGTGAAACCTTCCCCCCCCCATGGTGAGACCTTCCCCCCCCCCCCATGGTGAGACCTTCCCCCCCATGGTGAGACCTTCCCCCCCATGGTGAGACCTTCCCCTCCCCCATGGTGAGACCTTCCCCCCATGGTGAGACCTTTTCCCCATGGTGAGACCTTCCCCCCCATGGTGAGACCTTCCCCCCATGGTGAGACCTTCCCCCCCCCATGGTGAGACCTTCCCCCCATGGTGAGACCTTCCCCCCCCATGGTGAAACCTTCCCCCCATGGTGAGACCTTCCCCCCCCATGGTGAGACCTTCCCCCCCATGGTGAGACCTTCCCCCCCATGGTGAGACCTTCCCCCCATGGTGAGACCTTCCCCCATGGTGAGACCTTCCCCCCCATGGTGAGACCTTCCCCCCATGGTGAGACCTTCTCCCCCTCATGGTGATACCTTCCCCCCATGGTGAGACCTTCCCCCCCATGGTCAGACCTTCCCCCCATGGTGAGACCTTCCCCCCATGGTGAGACCTTCCCCCCATGGTGAGACCTTCCCCCCTCCCATGGTGAGACCTTCCCCCCCATGGTGAGACCTTCCCCCCCATGGTGAGACCTTCCCCCCCATGGTGAGACCTTCCCCTCTCCCATGGTGAGACCTTCCCCCCATGGTGAGACCTTTTCCCCATGGTGAGACCTTCCCCCCCATGGTGAGACCTTCCCCCCATGGTGAGACCTTCCCCCCCCATGGTGAGACCTTCCCCCCATGGTGAGACCTTCCCCCCCATGGTGAAACCTTCCCCCCATGGTGAGACCTTCCCCCCCCCCATGGTGAGACCTTCCCCCCATGGTGAGACCTTCCCCCCCATGGTGAGACCTTCCCCCCATGGTGAGACCTTCCCCCCATGGTGAGACCTTCCCCCCCATGGTGAGACCTTCCCCCCCATGGTGAGACCTTCTCCCCCTCATGGTGAGACCTTCCCCCCATGGTGAGACCTTCCCCCCATGGTGAGACCTTCCTCCCCATGGTGAGACCTTCCCCCCCATGGTATCACTGTTATCTGAGACACGACGTCTCTCACCCATAAGATCACACGGTCCTGCTGTATTTCTCAATATGAAGCTTAGTCACTCGTGAGCAACGGACACTCAAACAATCTCTCTACTCGCTTTTCTTGGCAGAAACTCGACAGATTTAGTTTGCATGATTTTTTGCTGATCTAAATCAAAATTGTTTGTCAGCAAGTTGCTATCTTCCAGGTGAAGATAGTAACTTCTTGCTATCTCCCAGCCCACGTCTCTCTAAAGGTTGTTTCCTGTAGCTAAACAGCTGCACTTGTTAGACAGTCTTGTATGTAGCTTAGGTGCTCCTCCATGTCTCATTTATTTTGTTGTTCATTTTTTTAAGTTCCCATTCGCCATCTTCCTTTAATTTTTGACGTGAGAGTTTGAAGATGAGCCAGACATTACAACTTAGTTTCTTCGCTCGTTCTTCTATAAGCTTTGGTCTGTCTTGATACTGGATTCGTGTGTCTATTTACAAGATCATTTCCTCTTACTGGTACACGTGTTAGACCGTTTAAGCAAGGTTTTATCCGCTTTAAGATGCAATTGGATAGGATTAGATAACATACAATCTTCTCTGGCTATGTTGACCCTATCATTCGTCCTCCTATATCTCTCTTCTTCTCTCTCATCTCTCTCTTGTCTCTCTTCTCTTCTCTCTCTCTTCTCTCCTCACTCTTCTCTCCTCTCTTTCCTCTCCTCTCTTTCTTCTCTTTCTCTGTTCTCACTCTCTTCTCACTCTCTTCTCACTCTCTTCTCTCTCTCTCTCTCTCTCTCTCTCTCTCTCTCTCTCTCTCTCTCTCTCTCTCTCTCTCTCTCTCTCTCTCTCTCTCTCTCTCTCTCTCTCTCTCTCTCTCTCTCCTCTCTCTCTGTGTGTGTCCAACCACTTGGACTGAACGGTAGAGCAACGGTCTCGTTTCATGCAGGTCGGTGTTCAATCCCCGACCGTTCAAGTGGTTGGGCACCATTCCGTTCCTCCGTCCTACCTCTTCAAAGTGCTATATAGTCGTAATGGCTTAGTCTTTCCCCTCTGATGACCTGTATCTCTCCCCCTCTCCCCTGTATCTTCTCATATTCAGCCAACCTCCTCCTCTCTACTCCCCCTCTGGCCCCAGGAGACTTCAGCCTGAGGATCCAGCCGGTGCTGCTGGACGACGACGGGCTGTACCAGTGCCAGGTGAGTGCCAGCGACGGAGTGCCCGGCATCAGGTCCCACGGCGCCCGCCTTACCGTGTACGTCCCGCCAGAGCCGCCCATCGTCACCCCCGCCAGACTCACCGCCACCGCCGGGGTCCCCGCTACCGTCCTCTGCCAGAGCTCCGGAGGACGGCCCGCCCCTGAGGTGAGAGAGAGAGAGAGAGAGAGAGAGAGAGAGAGAGAGAGAGAGAGAGAGAGAGAGAGAGAGAGAGAGAGAGAGAGAGAGAGAGAGAGAGCCTTGCCACTTGCCATACATCACCACTCAGAAGAAGTGTAGGACACACAATGATAAGTGTGTGCAAACCTCAATATAAGCCTTATTGACCATTTCCAGCAGGAACCAGAGCTGCCCCTAAATATAACCTGAAGACATAGACACTACCACACTGGTGGGGGCGCTGATGGCTGAGTGGACAGCACGCTGGATACGTGTGTGTGTGTGTGTGTGTGTGTGTGTGTGTGTGTGTGTGTGTGTGTGTGTGTGTGTGTGTGTGTGTGTGGTGTGTGTGTGTTTGTTTGTTTTACATAGCAAAATATGTAGTAGACATAACATAGGAAAAATAAATTGGTTAGAGAGGCGGGGTCCAAGAGCTAATAACTCGATTCTGCAAATACAAATAGTAAATACACACACACACACACACACCCACACACACACACACACACACACACACACACACACACACACATTAATGAGAAGAGTTGTGACAGATGAGGATTGTAGGATCCTCCAAGAGGACCTGAACAGGTTGCAGAGATGGTCAGGGAAATGGCTACTGGAGTTTAACACCAGTAAATGTAAAGTTATGGAAATGGGATCAGGTGACAGGAGACCAAAGGGACAGTACACAATGAAGGGGAACAGCCTACCTGTAACGATTCGAGAAAGAGACCTGGGAGTGGATGTGACACCTAATCTTACTCCTGAGGCACATATAAATAGGATAACGACAGCAACGTACTCTACACTGGCGAAAATTAGAACTTCTTTCAGAAACCTAAATGAGGAGGCTTTCAGGGCGCTTTACACTGCCTACGTGAGACCCGTCTTAGAGTATGCCGCGCCATCATGGAGCCCCCACCTGAAGAAACACATAAAGAAACTGGAGAAGGTCCAGAGGTTTGCGACGAGGCTTGTCCCAGAGTTACGAGGGATGGGATATGAAGAGCGTCTGCAGGAACTGAACCTTACGACACTAGAGAAAAGAAGAGAGAGAGGAGATATGATAGGGACATATAAAATACTCAGAGGCATTGACAAAGTGGAAATAGATGAAATGTTCACACGTAATAATAACAGAACGAAGGGACATGGGTGGAAACTGGAAACTCAGATGAGTCACAGAGATGTTAGGAAGTTTTCTTTTAGCGTGAGAGTAGTGGGAAAATGGAATGCACTTGGGGAACAGGTTGTGGAAGCAAATACTATTCATACTTTTAAAACTAGGTATGATAGGGAAATGGGACAGGAGTCATTGCTGTAAACAACCGATTGCTGGAAAGGCGGGATCCAAGAATCAATGCTCGATCCTGCAAGCACAAATAGGTGAGTACAAATAGGTGAGTACACACACACACACACACACAGGGGACACAGGTGGAAGCTGAGTACCCAAATGAGCCACAGAGACATTAGAAAGAACTTTTTCAGTGTCAGAGTGGTTAGTAAATGGAATGCATTAGGAAGTGATGTGGTGGAGGCTGACTCCATATACAGTTTCAAATGTAGATATGATAGAGCCCAGTAGGCTCAGGAATCTGTACACCAGTTGATTGACGGTTGAGAGGCGGGACCAAAGAGCCAGAGCTCAACCCCCGCAAACACAATTAGGTGAGTACAATTAGGTGAGTACACACACACACACACACACTGTGAACGACAAAGAGGTAATAACACAAACAGCATTTGGTGGTCCGTCAGGTGCAGTGGGTGGACGAGAGTCGTCGCGAGAGCATCCGGGCGGGGTGGACGACGGAGACGCAGCCGCTGGAGGACGGCAAGAGGGTGAAGGTGGTGTCCACCCTCACCTTCACCCCCCGCCGGGCCCACCACAACGCCTCCCTCACCTGCCTCATCTCCAACCAGGCCCTCAGCCACCCCCTCACCAGGTGAGCCTCACACTGTGCACGCTCTCCACGAGACACCTGGCGTACGCGTACACTCGTCTGGCGTACGCGTACACTCGTCTGGTGTACGCGTACACTCGTCTGGTGTACGCGTACACTCGTCAGGTGTACGCATACACTCGTCTGGTGTACGTGTACACTCGTTTGGTGTACGCGTGCACTCGTCTGGTGTACGCGTACACTCGTCTGGTGTACGCGTACACTCGTCGGGTGTATGCGTACACTCGTCTGGTGTATACGTACACTCGTCTGATGTACGCATACACTCGTCTGGTGTATGCGTACACTCACCTGGCATATGCATACACTCATTTGGTGTATGTGTACACACATCTGGTGTATGCATACTCAGTTCGTTTATGTATACACTCACATGATGTATGCATGCTCTTACATGATGTATATGCATACACTTGATAAAATAGCTCACCATATTCACACCTTACAGACACTTATTTATTATTCTCACCTAAAATAGACACTAACCTGAGCGACTCATTACACAAGTCGTGTGGAGTGATAGATACATAATTTAATGACACATGGTGTTAGTTTTCCCCACAGCATCGTTGGTGAAGTCTTGACGACCAAAGGGCTGCAACCCCTCACTAACATGGCGGGCTCTAACTCACCTAGGCTCTTCTAACATATTCATCAATTTGGTCCTTCGAACCACATAGCAAATAGTCCTTCGAACATCAGACGACAATCTAACAAACACTAGATATCTACAAATTATAATATGTATAACAAGCTCTAAATTATCACATATGTGTTGCAGTAATAGCTTTTACACATTAGCTTAACTACCTCGTAACATGTTACAATGATAATCATGCACCCTCCTTCTACCCCCCCCCCCCCGGCCTCCAGCACCATCGAGATGAGTGTTCTCTTCTCTCCGGAGGTTCACCTGAAGGTCCGCCCGCAGCAGGTGGCTGAGGGAGGCCAGGCCACCTTCTTTTGCTCTGCCCGCGCTAACCCGTCCCTCCTCGTGTACAGGTGAGTCGCGTTCAAGCGAGCTTGATGTAACGCGTTACAGTAGTCAAGGCAATGTTATGTAGGACGAAATATTCCGAGGGTATCTCCAAAGAACCTCTGAAAGATTCGAACTCACATGTCCGACAGGACTTAATAACGGGTGTGGTGACAAAAAGGACAGTAATGTACTCTAGCATTAACGTTAGACACAGAATCCAGGCGAGTATTGAATGGTAATATACAGTTCAAGTTGCTGGCAGCAGGGGACATGGAACTCGCGGTGGACGAGAGGGAGCGGGAGCAACTTTACAATGGAAGGCTTATGATTCCAAGGAAATCTTGAGAACTGACAAGGGGCATAGTCTTCCTTTGAATGTCATTGTGATTTTGGTCAGGATAAGATCTACAGCCATGTAAACATGGATCACAACAGTGTGAATGGTGTGACTTACTCGCACCACCTTATTATTTCTATTATTTTCTTCTAACTAACTCCATCCACCTGGACCATACCCACAACCCCCCAACTTCGCCCCTTCACCACCGACCCTCCTAACCCCAGCCGTTCAACCCCTCCCCCCCCCTTCCCTACCTCACCACGCCGGCCCACACACTGGGGGGCCACTTCCACCTGGCGCGTCACAAGGCATTGTAAATAAACATTGCGCATATTGGGAGGTATTTTCCTTCTATATTTTGAAGGATAGTTGTTTTGTGAAGTGTTCGGCGCAACGCACTCACACGTTATATGTATGTGTGTGTGTGTGTGTATATATTTATATATAATATATATATATATATATATATATATATAATATATATATATATATATATATATATATATATATATATATATATATATATATATATATATATATATTATATATATATATATATATATATATATATATATATATATATATATATATATATATATATATATATATATATACACATATATATATAGATATATGTATGTATGACAGTGTCAGACCACGAAGAAAGAATTGAAACAGGAATTTCCTTAAGTACTTTCGTATTTAATAATACATCTTCAGAAGGGTGATTTTTTTCACATTTTCACATTGTGAAAATCTCAGACCGTAAGGGGGCCTGACGGCTGAGTGGACAGCGCTCGGGATTCGTAGTCCTAAGGTTCCGGGTTCGATCCCCGACGGAGGTAGAAACATATGGGCAAAGTTTCTTTCACCCTCATGCCCCTGTGTACCTAGCAGTAAATAGGTACCTGGGAATTAGACAGCTGCTACAGGCTGCTTCCTGGGAATGTGTAACAAAAAGGAGGCCTGGTCGAGGACTGGGCCGCGGGGACGCTAAGCCCCGAAATCATCTCAAGATAACCATGTATACTTTAGGCCGGTATCGATAGCGAACTACTGACCTCCAGGATACACCCCCATAACAATCCCCTAAATCCTAGGTACCTGTTTACTGCTAGGTGAACAGGTGCATCAAGGTGAAAGAAACTCTGCTCATTTGTTTCTGCCTTGACCGGGAGTCGAACCTGGGTCCTTAGGACTATGAACCCTGAGCGTTGTCCACTTAGCCATGAGGCTACACACACACAAAGGCTGCGTGAAATGCACCTCACGACACTGGAAGATAAAAGAGTAAAGGGAGACATGATCACTACCTGTAAAATTCTCAGAGGAATTGACAAGGTAGATGAAGATAAACTGTTTAACACGGGTGGTGCGCGAACAAGGGAACACAGGTGGAAACTGAGTACCCACATGAGCCCCAGGGACGTTAGAAAGAACTTTTTTAAGTGTCAGAGTAGTTAACAGGTGGAATGCATTAGGAAGCAATGTGGTGGAGGCTGACTCCATACACAGTTTCAAGTGTAGATATGATAGAGCCCAGTAGGCTCAGGAATCTGTACACCAGTTGATTGACGGTTGAGAAGCGAGACCAAAGAGCCAGAGCTCAACCCCCGCAAGCACAACTAGGTGAGTACACAGGCCCCCTGTAGACCCCTCTGTGTACTCACCTAATTGTGCTTGCGGGGGTTGAGCTCTGGCTCTTTGGTCTCGCTTCTCAACCGTCAATCCACAGGTGTACAGGTTCCTGAGCCTACTGGGCTGTGTGTGTGTGGTGTGTGTGTGTGTGTGTGTGTGTGTGTGTGTGTGTGTGTGTGTGTGTGTGTGTGTGTGTGTGTGTGTGTGTCAGAGCACACACAACTCGAGAGAATCAAGCAGAGACAGACAAGCCCCCCCCCGCCCCGCTGATGAGGTTAGTGTCCAAGCAGTGTGTCTGCATCTTAAATACACTTTATCTTTATTAAATATTCTGACACAGATGCCATTTTTCATATACATCATTTATATATAACGATTTGCAAATAGTCCTACATGTATTTCTATCATTTGAACCTGAAAATAAATTTTACATTTCCTTTGAGTGTAAAGATTGAGGCGGTGCCTACTGTCTCTCTTAGCTCAGTCGTCAAAGTTACGTATGAAAGGAAAAATATATTAGATGTTGTTATGTTAGAGTGGAGAGTCGTGGAGGACCGAGCACAGTGTGTGGCCGGCCAGGTGGAAGCCCTCCCTGGCCTGAGGCCGCACCTGGGGCAGCTGTGTGCGTTGGTGGGAGAGCTGTCTCTCCCTCTCTGTCTCTCTGTCTGTCTGTCTGTCTGTCTGTCTCTCTCTCTCTCTCTCTCTCTCTCTCTCTCTCTCTCTCTCTCTCTCTCTCTCTCTCTCTCTCTCTCTCTCTCTCTCTCTCTCTCTCTCTCTCTCTCTCTCTCTCTCTCTCAGCTGGCGATATGTGTGGGTGTTGGCTGTTAAGCTAGGCTCTCTCTCTCTCTCATGTCAGCGAGCTGTGAGTGTGCGAGAGGTTCTTCACATGTGTTTCACCATATATGGATGTCTATAGATGAATACTGTGTACCATTCATATATACACACTCTGATGCTTCCACACATGTTGTTCTGTTTAAGGCTATTTATTTTATTATTATTATTATTGTTATTATTTATTGAGTTATATATGCATATGTATACATATTCCCTATACACATGCATATACATACATACACATATATTCATACATATATACATACATACACCACATTATATATATATATATATATATATATATATATATATATATATATATATATATATATATATATATATATATATATAACTACTGAAAACTCACACCCCAAAAGTGACTCGAACCCATACTCCCAGAAGCAACGCAACTGGTATGTACAAGACGCCTTAATCCACTTGACCATCACGACCGGACATAATGAGGTGATAGCCGAGGCTATTTGAACCACCCCACCGCCGGCACTCGGATAGTAATCTTGGGCATAGCATTTAACCAAATCACCTCATTCTTTGGGGCATACCAGTTGTACATATGTCTTGTACATACCAGTTGCGTTGCTTCTGGGAGTATGGGTTCGAGTCACTTCTGGGGTGTGAGTTTTCAGTTGCATATTGTCCTGGGGACCATTCAGGCTTGTTCGCATTTGTGTTCCTCACGTGTGCCCCAAAGAATGAGGTGATTTGGTAAAATGCTATGCCCAAGATTACTATCCGGTGCCGGCGGTGGGGTGGTTTAAATAGCCTCGGCTATCACCTCATTATGTCCGTCGTGATGGTCAAGTGGATTAAGGCGTCTTGTACATACCAGTTGCGTTGCTTCTGGGAGTATGGGTTCGAGTCACTTCTGGGTGTGAGTTTTCAGTTGCATATTGTCCTGGGGACCATTCAGGCTTGTTCGCATTTGTGTTCCTCACGTGTGCCCCAAAGAATGAGGTGATTTGGTAAAATGCTATGCCCAAGATTACTATCCGAGTGCCGGCGGTGGGGTGGTTTAAATAGCCTCGGCTATCACCTCATTATGTCCGGTCGTGATGGTCAAGTGGATTAAGGCGTCTTGTACATACCAGTTGCGTTGCTTCTGGGAGTATGGGTTCGAGTCACTTCTGGGGTGTGAGTTTTCAGTTGCATATTGTCCTGGGGACCATTCAGGCTTGTTCGCATATATATATATATATATATATATATATATATATATATATATATATATATATATATATATATATATATATATATATATATATATATGTCGTACCTAATAGCCAGAACGCACTTCTCTGCCTACTATGCAAGGCCCGATTTGCCTAATAAGCCAAGTTTTCATGAATTAATTGTTTTTCGACTACCTAACCTACCTAACCAAACCTAACCTAACTTTTTCGGCTACCTAACCTAACCTAACCTAAAAAGATAGGTTAGGTTAGGTTAGGTAGGTTTGGTCATATATCTACGTTAATTTTAACTCCAATAAAAAAATATTGACCTCATACATAATGAAATGGGTAGCTTTATCATCTCATAAGAAAAAAAATTGAGAAAATATAATAATTCAGGAAAACTTGGCTTATTAGGCAAATCGGGCCGTGTATAGTAGGCTGAGAAGTGCGTTCTGGCTACTAGGTACGACATATATATATATATATATATATATATATATATATATATATATATATATATATATATATATATATATATATATATATCTTGGGCCACCAGCTGTGGGAGCGGAGCGTCTCATCTTTGGCCACCAGCTGTGGGAGCGGGGCGTCTCATCTTGGGCCACCAGCTGTGGGAGCGGGGCGTCTCATCTTGGGCCACCAGCTGTGGAGCGGGGCGTCTCATCTTGGGCCACCAGCTGTGGGAGCGGGGCGTCTCATCTTGGGCCACCAGCTGTGGGAGCGGGGCGTCTCATCTTGGGCCACCAGCTGTGGGAGCGGAGCGTCTCATCTTTGGCCACCAGCTGTGGGAGCGGGGCGTCTCATCTTGGCCACCAGCTGAGGGAGTAGGGCGTCTCATCTTGGGCCACCAGCTGTGGGAGCGGGGCGTCTCATCTTGGGCCACCAGCTGTGGGAGCGGAGCGTCTCATCTTTGGCCACCAGCTGTGGGAGCGGGGCGTCTCATCTTGGGCCACCAGCTGTGGGAGCGGAGCGTCTCATCTTTGGCCACCAT